GTCGAAAAATTTTCAGGCTCTTCTCTAGAAGCTCGTTTGATGCTGGAAACACTATGCAAGTTGTTTTGTAAAAAAGTACAGGAAATTGTGTCCAAACATAAAACTCGGTAAAATTTCCGACGTTCTAGTGCACAAACCTAATACTTCGAAAGCTAAGCAATCACTAGTGTTTCTGTGTAACAGAGAGGTGAGACCCACAACTTGAGTCTCTGTATTCTTGGTTGAAAGTTCAAGGTTTTTTGCTGAACTACAACTAAAACAAATGAAAACAATCAATGACATTTTGCTCACGCTAGAAGCAGCAGTTGGCGCCCTTCAAGCTATCTTTTGGACTTGTTTTTTCAACCACACATTGCAAAAAACACCCAGAGTTGTCTGGTTTATGCAGTTATCCCTCCTTACATTTCTGGCGAGTTTGACCTTGCTAAAAGTATGCAGCTGAATCAAGTCACAGTAATTTTGATTGTAATATTTGTTATTCTCTCAATTCTCAATACAACTACAACCAAAACGATCTACCACTCTCTCAAGGTTTACTTTCCCACTCGAACATTTTTGTGAAGAGCAGATTGCGCGTGAGATCGTGGAACCATCCAAGCATTGTGCAAGCAAAGCGAGCAGTGATGGCTTTTGACTATCATGAAAACTTAAAAGTCAATGAGCTCAAGATAATCAAGATTCTAGATTCGAAAAGATTAAATCGGTGTTAAAGCTTTTTGAGCGTGTTGTGCACCAAACTCTGCTTCCTGAATCCACCCTTTCAAGTTTTCAAATTAGAAGACTGGAGAAACTGAAAGAGAAAATTTTGGAAAGAAAATTTTATATACTTCAATATGACCTGGGGTAGGAAAGCCTCTATAAAAAGTGCTATATAGTCATCAATACTATACAATCTATGTCTAGAAGGAAATGAAAGGAAAAGTGTTGAGACTAATGCACTGCTAGATAGCACATATCAAGCTTCATATTGCTCAGTTTTATGCCAATACTACAGATCATCCATGGCTTGCTGGTTGTCAAGCATTTGCGGCTTTTTCCAAGATTTTACAGCATTTAAGACTGAAGAGATCAAAGTAAACTACTTAGTGACGAAAAAATTTTATTTGATTTTCGTTTATTTTACATAACTTTTTATGATGTACTTGACCCAGAAAATAACTAAAAATCGCCTTCGAAGGCACTCGGTAAATCTTCGCTTTGATCATCATGCAAATCCGGATCGTATTCATCCTCCTCCACTAAAACATCGCACAAATAGTCTCTGAATCAAACATACCAATCAACTTACCCAGTAGCCCCTCTTCATCGAGTTCGGGAACCATTCGTACCGTATGCCTCCTTAGGCAACGACCTTTCTTGCTGTCACGAAAGAAAACACATGCCAAAGGCAGTATATTAGCTACATGCTCAGCTCCATGCAGGTGCCAGATCTATATGTTATTTTGGCAGGAACCAATCTGTGAGGATGAAGTGAAAACGGGATTATTTTCACCTTTCGAATAGTCTTTGTTGAGAATTTTTCATTTTTTATCGCTGCAACAGCCTCGTCTTTGATCTGAAGTAAGCTAGGACTTCCTATAATATAATAATTACATGTAGATTCTAAAACCAAACCTCTAACTGATATATGCTGTACAACCAGACCAAATCGTCTGGAATTCTCGAACATCTACCACTGAACGTCATATACAAGTAGATTACCTCTTGTGGTGCTAGCATGCCGACCGGAAAACTCTCTTATCTCATACTCAGTCATAAATATTACAAAAATTTTGCGAGACAAGAATTAGGCGCCTTGTTTCATCTGTGCTACCTAATTGTGATCCAATCGTTATAATTGCTCTTAATTTCTTCAATGAATTCGTTCTATCTATAGTTGTATTTTTTGCACATTCAGCACCGATCATGCAGTACAAATGTTCAAACGGGGGGAAGAATCATACAAGGACTGCCGCTGAGCTCAGGAGCTCAGCAACATTTGTAAGGATTTTTATGCGAACATGGCAAGCATCAAATGTGGAAAAAAAGATTTTTCCAAAAAGGCTTAACTAGATAGAAATTCTTTAACCTCTGTGCAGTCTGCACAGGGCTGTAAAAGATAGTGAATCGGCTGTCCGGGCGGGGTGGAGCCTATCGGCGACATATAGTCCCCCACACCAACTTGACTTTCCAAGTGACTATGGCATTTACAACAAGATATGCATAGAGGAGTCATAGTGATCCGTATTAATGAATGATGTTGTTTCGCTAAGGAGTTCGTACGCGCGGACAACTTTTAAGAATTGAGAATTTTGGAGTCATGGTTTGTAGCAGATGTACGCGAACCTACGACAGCGCGCATTTTTAGTTGTCTGCCTTGTGGGACCATGCCTCCTACGAATAAGAAGAAGATTTTTGGCTAAAATCAAGCAATTCGTCATCTACTCTAGTTACAGTAATTTTGATCCGAGAAACACTGAAGTAATTTTTAGGGCCAGAGCATAGGAGAGCTTTATCGCAAAATAGTTGTCATTTTGACTAAATTCACATCATGCTGGTCATGGTGTCATCAATGTATTAATGAAACGTCTGGATTATAGTTGTTATTGTGGAATTAACCCCAAGTATCCTCATTGATCTTGTTTAAGACCAGTATAATTTTCCAAACCTTTCAGCGAAAACGCATTTCAACGGCACACAAAAGGAAATGCAAAAAAGTGATAAACAGCGTAGAAGCAGACTTCACAGCACAAACATTTAAGCAATTCAGAAATGCAAACTTTTGAAGTGAGCATATAACCTAATCCTGCGAAAAGACTGACTAACCTTTGGTGTTATTCCAAAATATGATGGAGGAGGACGGCGTACATTGTAGATGATATGCTAAACCAGTTTGATATTACTGATAGCCTTTGTATAGGAGTGACCTTTTCTCCTGTTCGCAGTAGAAAAATCAGTAAACGCGCTGCAACCACAAGGTTGCAAAATCAAGTTTTTGCATGTTCGAAGCGTAAGTCAAAATATTGGATAAACACTAGATTAACGAGAGGGTGAGAGGGCGAAAAAAGGGACAAGTAAGGAAGGGAAGAAAGAGTGGAACAGCAAGGAAGAGCTAAGCTAGTGCAGGTAGGATAAAATCAAAACGAGGTTGCCTACAAGGTTTCCATCCCATCACTGATCAATCACCTTTATCTTGATCATGCTTACCCTTTACTCCAGCAGTGGTGGTATTCACCTTACCCGGCAGGTCTTGTACTCAACTGCAACCGCCAGTTGATGGGAACTCTGAGCCCCTTTGGAGTTTTCCCGAAGCGATCAGACTGCTGACACTCTTCAGGGTCTGACGGCCCAACTTAGTGTCGGGCATCAAATGAAAATTGAAAAAATCTGAAGAATTCCGGCAACACCAGATTTCGAGGCCGAAAGGCTGAGAATTCGTCGAATCTGGTGCGGTCTCGTCCGCAACCTACAGGCACCTCGCCCTCAATTCAGAGGGCAGGGACAATAGTGCATTTTTTGAACAATGCAACTGCTGGCATCTCGTCGTGCTCCTAACATGTCGTTAGGTTCACAAAATACGCATATCCCTGCCCTATTTCTACCGGTTTTTGATTTTGTGCATATTTTTTGAGTTCTAGTCATAATTATGACCTGAAACATTTGCAAGCTATCAGAAAAATATTTGTGAAATTTTACTTCGTCGTCTTTTATTGAAAATTTTTATTTTGATTAGGTGCATCACTAAGGGAGTGTGGGCATAACGATCGTCCTTGACCACCATCAATGTATGTGATTTTGCTACTTACGAGATCTGTCATTGCAATGATCTATAATCTACCTTTACAATTTAGTGTTTGCGTGAGTTAGAATACTTTTACTTACATTGTGCACTGTACTCTCGGAGTTTTTTTTTACAAAATTTGTAGTGCACTAATACTGTAGAATTATCTGAAAGGACCATATTTTCAAGTGCATACACACACGCAAAGATTTGGTAGAACTTTAGCTACGCCGGAAATAATGATTTCCCTGCATGTCTTGTCTTATCATTAGGTCAGAGTTGATTAAGAGTATCACTTTTTCGGTGATGAAGCAGTAAATCCTCTCCTAAATTTTTGGAAAACTTCCCGCGTGCGAAGCTCAAGTCATCATGTGTGCGACTCTATATGCAACGTATGGACGTAGGCGATAGCCGAGATTGTAGTTTTGTCTCTGAGACGATGTAAGATACCGCCAGTACGTTGGTGGGATGCCTTTAAATTAGGTAATTACATTTGCATGACAGAGTTGATTTGAGAGTATTTAATGACAAACTTGCTTTCAAAGTATTTCGAACTTCCTTAGCTAATTAGCTTCCCGCTACTCCCTTCATAAAGGATCGCCCTAAACTTTCAACACGTGTACTGTGCGTCTTTGCCAGACTGTAACAGTCGTAAGCCTACAAGCTTTTCCCACCCATCACCTCAACACCTCTAAGCGGTCTTCTTCCATTTTCCCATCGTTCTCACATGATATAACTGACACAATCTAGGGAAGATCTCCAGAGCATTTCATTGTCACACTCTATGCTATTCCCTCAATGCAAGGAATGGGGTTTGGCGATGAATCGCCCCTACCGTTTAACTTGCAAAACAAATTCGAAGAAATTAAAAGGGGAAAAGAACATTAAATTGGGTTTTAGACAACCATGATCCTTGTGCTTCCATATAGTTATAGGATGTCAAATCTCTTTAGACTTGGCCGATGGAGAGCTGAGCTAATTTATGAGAGTTAGCCTTTTCATGTGCAAATGTTTGCAATGATATAAGTTTCTGTTATGGTTCACCTCAAAAGATCACCAGTTTGCATCGTTCAATACCATGACATAGTACTTGTTCGAACGCTTACAAATCTTTTCTGTAGTAAAATTTATGTTTTCCCAAATAAGCTGTCTTTGCTTATACACTTCTTCAAAAAACCTTACTTTCAGGAAGTCCGCTCTCTACCATGATTGTTCGGCAGAGACTCGTTTGCCGATTGATCGAGTATAGGCCGTGCCACCCAGCATCGGTCATGCGACGTCGCGGTCGCGGCAGCTAGCGGTGCATCTGTGTGACGCAAGCGGACACTGCCACGGGTTAAAGAAAGACGTATGCGATAGTAAGTCAACGCAAGGCATAAAAGCGACTAATGCCGGTAGATGCAGCATATACATAGATTCGAACCTGCGCGGGCAGAGCTCAAATGATTTCGAGTCAATCTCCTTAACCACTCGGACATCGCTGCCAGCTACTAAATCATGTGCACTCTTTGAGCTTTACTTTTCCTATGATAAGCAAGGATATGGACTTTTAGTCACCTCAACAGCTGCACGACTTTTAAACATCAATTAGTTATACTGCGCCAGAGATTTTCGAGCATCATTCCTCCGCGCAAAAGCGGAAGCGCTACGCACAAAAAATTCGCAGCGAGCACGATTCGAACCTGCGCGGGCAGAGCCCAATTGATTCCTGCGCGGGCAGAGCCCAATTGATTTCGAGTCAATCTCCTTAACCACTCGGACATCGCTGCCGGCTACTACATCATGTGTACAGACAGTCTTTGAGCTTTACTTTTCCTATGATGAGCATGGATATGGACTTTTCGTCACCTCAACAACTGCACGACCTTTAAACATCAATTAGTTATACTGCGCCAGCGATTTTCGAGCATCATTCTTCTGCGCAAATGCGGAACCGCTACGCACAAAAAGATTCGCAGCGAGCAGGATTCGAACCTGCGCGGGCAGAGCCCAATTGATTTCTAGTCAATCTCCTTAACCACTCGGACATCGCTGCCAGCTGGTGATCGTTAGTGGTTTCAGAGCTTTGAATTTCTGCCTATAAAGTGTTTCGACAAAGTTACCTAAGAATGTGCGCTAAGAAGGGCACGATGTCTCTAGACAAAAGATTCGCAGCGAGCCGGCTACTACATCATGTGTACAGGCAGTCTTTGAGCTTTACTTTTCCAATGATGAGCATGGATATGGACTTTTTGTCACCTCAACAACTGCACAACCTTTAAACATCAATTAGTTATACTGTGCCAGCGATTTTCGAGCATCATTCTTCCGCGCAAATGCGGAACCGCTACGCACAAAAAGATTCGCAGCGAGCAGGATTCGAACCTGCGCGGGCAGAGCCCAATTGATTTCTAGTCAATCTCCTTAACCACTCGGACATCGCTGCCAGCTGGTGATCGTTACTGGTTCCAGAGCTTTGAATTTCTGCCTATAAAGTGTTTCGACAAAGTTACCTAAGAATGTGCGCTAAGAAGGGCACGATGTCTCTAGACAAAAGATTCGCAGCGAGCAGGATTCGAACCTGCGCGGGCAGAGCCCAATTGATTTCGAGTCAATCTCCTTAACCACTCGGACATCGCTGCCGGCTACTACATCATGTGTACAGACAGTCTTTGAGCTTTACTTTTCCTATGATGAGCATGGATATGGACTTTTCGTCACCTCAACAACTGCACGACCTTTAAACATCAATTAGTTATACTGCGCCAGCGATTTTCGAGCATCATTCCTCCGCGCAAATGCGGAAGCGCTACGCACAAAAAGATTCGCAGCGAGCAGGATTCGAACCTGCGCGGGCAGAGCCCAATTGATTTCTAGTCAATCTCCTTAACCACTCGGACATCGCTGCCAGCTGGTGATCGTTAGTGGTTTCAGAGCTTTGAATTTCTGCCTATAAAGTGTTTCGACAAAGTTACCTAAGAATGTGCGCTAAGAAGGGCACGATGTCTCTAGACAAAAGATTCGCAGCGAGCAGGATTCGAACCTGCGCGGGCAGAGCCCAATTGATTTCGAGTCAATCTCCTTAACCACTCGGACATCGCTGCCGGCTACTACATCACATGTACAGACAGTCTTTGAGCTTTACTTTTCCAATGATGAGCATGGATATGGACTTTTGGTCACCTCAATAACTGCACGACCTTTGAACATCAATTAGTTATACTGTGCCAGCGATTTTCGAGCATCATTCTTCTGCGCAAATGCGGAACCGCTACGCACAAAAAGATTCGCAGCGAGCAGGATTCGAACCTGCGCGGGCAGAGCCCAATTGATTTCTAGTCAATCTCCTTAACCACTCGGACATCGCTGCCAGCTGGTGATCGTTAGTGGTTCCAGAGCTTTGAATTTCTGCCTATAAAGTGTTTCGACAAAGTTACCTAAGAATGTGCGCTAAGAAGGGCACGATGTCTCTAGACAAAAGATTCGCAGCGAGCAGGATTCGAACCTGCGCGGGCGGAGCCCAATTGATTTCGAGTCAATCTCCTTAACCACTCGGACATCGCTGCCGGCTACTACGTCATGTGTACAGACAGTCTTTGAGCTTTACTTTTCCTATGATGAGCATGGATATGGACTTTTGGTCACCTCAATAACTGCACGACCTTTGAACATCAATTAGTTATACTGTGCCAGCGATTTTCGAGCATCATTCTTCTGCGCAAATGCGGAAGCGCTACGCACAAAAAGATTCGCAGCGAGCAGGATTCGAACCTGCGCGGACAGAGCCCAATTGATTTCTAGTCAATCTCCTTAACCACTCGGACATCGCTGCCAGCTGGTGATCGTTAGTGGTTCCAGAGCTTTGAATTTCTGCCTATAAAGTGTTTCGACAAAGTTACCTAAGAATGTGCGCTAAGAAGGGCACGATGTCTCTAGACAAAAGATTCGCAGCGAGCAGGATTCGAACCTGCGCGGGCGGAGCCCAATTGATTTCGAGTCAATCTCCTTAACCACTCGGACATCGCTGCCAGCTGGTGACCGTTAGTGGTTCCAGAGCTTTGAATTTCTGCCTATAAAGTGTTTCGACAA